TACTGGGTGCATGTGCACTTTAGTGCACCTAAATTTGGTTTGGTTTTGTAATTAGGTTTGTTTCATATGGTGCACCCAATTTTTTAGCTTGGGTGCACTAGTGCACCTATTCCCAAAAATGAATTTCAAGCCCTGTTGTATGAATGATGGTTATTGTGAAAATGCTTCTTGTGCATTCAACACTCCTGATGGAGGTGTGATCTTTTAGGAGTTAATTAGGTTAGTCCTTCTTACTTACATTTTCTAGGCATGGACAAAGAGGTCTACAATAGTTGTAAAGGCTACTAGTTCTACAGTTATACATCTGTACTGATGTTTTTATAATGTTGTGCTATAAATTAATGCATGTATATTTGTAATTCACTAATTGGGTTGAACCTACTAGGGTCTACACAGCAAGGAAATGGTTTTAAGGCCACAGCAAGTAAATTTTATGGATGACATCCTCCACAGATTCCAAATCTAATGCGAGCGGGCGAAAAAAAAACTTTTTTTTACCTCCGGGGAAGGAGATATCCTTCCGCGAGGAGGTTTTACTATGGTTCGAAACATTTCTGTCAGCAGCTGTTTCTCGCGATCGGCTGGACGGATTTGTCTGTGGTTTGGTATACGTATTGCTATTGGGCTGCAGATGATGCAGAACGTTTTTGTTTAATTGCATATGTGTTTATGGGCGTCGAAATAAAAGGTTTTTAAGTGCTCTGGACACCCCCGCCATGCTGAAAATGGTAATTACCATGTTGTTAAGGAATGGGGCGGTTGCAGTTTTGGGTTTTAGCATTCAAAAGGGGTCAAACAGAGGGGTGTCTGGTTCCGATAAAAATTTTGGGTGACGGCGCAGCAATGACGGCGCGGGATGACGGCGGGGGTAATGGCGCGGGTGACGGTGCAGGCTGTCACTTTAATCAACAGTCCATACCGAACCAACCGTCAGTAGCCATCAAACACATACAAACATATTACGCACATAACTTTCATACTACACACAAACAAATAATCTAAACCAATAGAACACAAAAAAACCCGGAGGTTTGAAATCTACGATTTCCCTTGTTTCAAATCATATTTCATTGTGGTAGCGGATTTGCATCGTACAGCAATGACGGTAACGACGGGACAAGGACATTCTACTATCATGAATTCGAAAGTTCAACTGTGTTGGTAGTTATCACAGTAAAACGTTGAACTTTATTCCAACACACATTATATATACAGAGATAAAAGTTTCAACTCCGTGGCACTTTTGATCAACTTCCCATGTATGAGTAAAGTCTCGTGTGAATAAGGTCACGTGTTTGTAACCGTAACTCTCGCGAGATCACGTTGTGAAGTGATTGGTCATTAATTATCCTGATGAAGGCAACAGTGGTCGCTGAAAATTTTATCTCTGTATAATGTGTGTGTTGGAATAAAGTCCACCTTTTTACTATAAGGACATTCTATGGTGTTCTTGAAATAACTAAACTGTTATACATTTTCACCAGTTTCCCATCCCCAGAATGCCTGGCGAAAACAGGGGGTCTAATCCTCATTTGCATAGGACAGGAATGCATCGGAATGATCCTGGTGTTGTTATACAGCTTGCTTTTCACTGTATTGAGGTATTGGGGCATTTTATGCTCAACTTTAATTGAATTACTATGGGTCGAATCTGACAACAAATAAAGAATGAAGTTTTTGTGTTCTTTTCAACATGGAACATGTGGTTTGTAACGTTACAGCATCATATACCATTACCACTATAACGTTACAAACAATTCATTCCAAAAATTATTTCTCTATTTGTTGTCAGATTCAACCCATAGCAACTAACCTTGAGCATAAAATGCCCAAACACCTCAAAACACACTGAAAAACAAGCTGTTTATTAATTAACGTTAACAGGATCATTTCGATGCCTTCCTGTCCTATGCAAAGGAGGTTTAGACCCCTGTTTTCGCAATGCATTCTGGGGACGGGAAACTCGTGGATATTGCGAGAATGCAAACGTACGTTGATGACGCGATCCTTGGTGTCGCATGTCGTCAGTTTCCGGTTGAACCTCAGGACTGTGTGAGTTCCGTTCTCGTACCCAGACACCAACTCCCAGTCCTGACTCTCGTCCACGATGGGCTGTGCATTCGCGTCTGCATACCTATCCTGCAAGATTTTGAATGATATAATATCTCTGAAAACTTTGTAAACACGGTGGTCAAATCTGGGCTGCAAAGTTCCCACATTTCATAGAACCCGAACTGTGTTCGATCGTGTTCGATCTGGGCAATTCGAATCGAACCCGCGTTCCATTTCGGGGTCACCTGCGGTCATTTACAATAAAGCGGCAAAACAAGCCCTTCTGCATGAGTGCCTCGCAACAGATAAAAAAACAACACTTTTCTATAGATACAAACAGTTTCCTGGTTAGCCCAAAATTGCGTCTTGTAACCCGACACTTTATCGAACGCCCCCAGCAATGGGAAAGAATGCCGTAGTGACAGACCGCCGTGAAAGGTCTACGTTGCTCTGAATCAAATAGGTGTGAACAGCAGTACATCATAGCCTTGATTACTAGAATATATATCAGCCTTTTCAGCCGTTTCCAAAAACGTTTTCAACCATACTGTAGATTGCACAAAACAGTTGCAAAATGAGCAAATATATATCGTAAGTTGCAAAAAACAAATTTGGAAAACGATACGAATGTCATAGAATGCTAAAATCAAACAAAAAAGACAAACATGTAAAAAAAAATGAATGTCAAGATCAGAGAAGATTATTCGCCATACAATACTTTTTGTGAAAAAGAAGAGTCAGTATTCGCTATACCATTACCAGTATACCCTGTTTAGTAATTTGTTCAACCTTCATGACCACGTAGATTTCATAATGAAATCAACTTTTTTTGCTAAACTTTTTTTATTCGCACGCTCGCATCAGTTTTGGGTTCCCAGAGGATGTCATCCATATAATCAAGACAACATGGCCTTATAATAGGCTCTGCCCGGAGAATGTTATCGGGTTGATCGATCGACCGACAGGTTGCTCCTGACGTCACGCTCGTAACCCAAAACATGTACGCGGCAAACACGTGATTATTAGCGTACGGTCATGCATCCGTATTTTAAGGTAGAACTCTTTCTAGCAGGCAATGTCCAGTATTACTAGTATGATATTATGCAGGCAAAGCCCAGTATTACTAGTATGATATTATGCAGGCAATGACCAGTATTATGCTATTAAGCTATTCTTCCCAGAAAGGTATTTTGTGAAAAATATTGTACGACTTTCGAAATCATAGATAGATTTATCATAGATAAATTGTAGGAAGGGTATTCCTATAAAGTCGTACAATATAAAAAATATTGTACGACTTTCGCAATCATAGATTCTACACATGGCAAGATGTTATAGGCGTTTTAATTTAGCCAACTTTACCTACAATAATGATTCCTTACCTAACAAACCTTATAAATGAACAATATGAATACTAATTTTCCTCCAGACAAAAATAATACTTATCATTCCCGTACTTAGACAGCCTTGCTTTCAGCTTAGTCAGCGAACATTAAAAAAAGATCTAAAACCCATTTCTACTTTTGGAGGGTGGCGAGAAAAAACATCTTGCGCTAATACTCCCGCAACGAATTACTCTATCTGACATTTTGTGACATTTAACGGTAGATCCCTCGCTAAGTTTAATAGCATTGATAATCGTCGTCGCCATAGGCCATAGCGACAAATGCTATACTGTAAAAGAAAAACACTCAGGAAAACTGTTTGTAGGGTAATCCCGTCGCTCTCATAACCTCGCCCTGTGATTGGTCAGAATTTACCGCCCAAGGGCGTATAGCTGAACGATAAAACATCTATCAGGGAGGCGGGATTATTATCTTATCAAGTTCCATTTCAAGCTCATCTTTGTCGTATCAAAAGTCTTACCTTTCTTATTCCAAATTCCTTGCAGTTTAACGTCACATTACCAATGTCTGAGACGTGTATAAGACCGCTTATGTCTTAAGTGCAACACGAATTGTTCTGGGTTAACGCTATCTAGACGGGGGGGGGCAACAATTTTGTATCGGTAGAATAAGATAATGGGTTTTAGTGTTGCCATGGCAACGGGTTTCTGACGGGCATTTTTTGGTAAATTTACTAATTTTCGTTTCAACAATAGAATTTTATGTAGTGCAATGGTATTAGTATACAGTGCAGTGCAATATTACGGACTAAAGTGCAATCGTATTAGTATACAGTGCAATTTTACTAGTAAAATTGTACTGTATACTAATACGATTGCACTGTATTCCGTAAAATCGCACTGTATACTATTAAAATTGCACTGCATAATTCCGTAAAATTGCACTGTATACTAGTAAAATTGCACTGTATAATTCCATAAAATTGCACTGTATACTATTAAAATTGCACTGCATAATTCCGTAAAATTGCACTGTATACTAGTAAAATTGCACTGTATAATTCCATAAAATTGCACTGTATACTATTAAAATTGCACTGCATAATTCCGTAAAATTGCACTGTATTCCATAAAACTGCACTCTACACTCTGGCACCCCTGCTGAAGCAATCTCGACAGTCTTACCGTCAGGTGCGCCTTCCCGCCTGCCACCCAGCCGATGACGATATCAGACCCCGCCATGCCTCCGTTCGGGGACAGGCCCAGCCCGACCCACCCCGTCGTCTGGACCTGCGCCTCCAACTCAATCTTCTCCTCGTCAAACTTCCAGAACAGGTGGTACTTCCCTGCCTCGTCTAGTGCCTCGTGGTGGGTGAAACCTTCGGTGGCGCTCCCACGTCCAAGCCGCACCGAAATGGCAACAAAAACAAGGGTACAAGTTATCAGGTGGGAACTACCGCGGAGTATTGCCATGTTTCGCTTTGCCACAATGTGCTTTCCCACAAAAATTCACAGCGGTATATTCTCTGGCCTTCCGGTGAGAGAATATATCTTTCCGCCCTTCCACGTACGGCGTACTATGCCTACTGAAGAGTTGATGTTGGCAATTTGAAGTCAGTCGGCAAACGTTCCCATGGAAACGGCTTTTGAAATAGCTGTGACTCACGACCTTGTGGCACGAGGAAGGCCAATGAGAATCCAGGCTGTGTACGAGCTAGGCAAGGCCAGGCAGAGCTGTGAATGCAAATCAAGCCCCTAACCAGGGTTCAAAGGTCCACTTTTTATCTAAACGTCCGATATTTACCTCCATGAAAAAAGGAGGTATTGTTTTTGGCGTGTCTGTGTGTCTGTCTGTGTGTCTGTGTGTGTGTCTGTCTGTCTGTGTGTTTGTGTTTCCGCACATTTGTAGTCAGCACATGTTGAAATGAAGTATGACAAAGGAGAGGAATACACGAAAAATATTGTCATATGAATTTAGAAAACCATAAATAAAACTAGATTATGCTAATTACTACCTTATTTCCATAGTCAATGAGACAAATAAAAAAAACTTTTACAAAAACTCATATATTTCATGGAGGTATGAAACCTCCAAATTATTGTTTTTCTTTAAAAGGTTGACTGATTTGTATCACCAGCGGGGTCGAAATCCTAGAAAAAAACTGCTCGCTTTGTCATTGATATCTCTGATTTTTCCGTTGAAATCCTCTCAAAAACGCAGGAAATGCCATTTCAGAAGGTTCAATATTCAAAATTTTCCGGACCCCCTCCCCAACTCGCGCATACGGCGCTCGCTGGTCCCTCGGTCAGTAAGAAGCCCCTCCCCCCACACCCACAAGCAAAATCCTGGCTACGGACATGCAAATGTAGAGTGGCGCTTAGCTGTAGAGACACAGTGCCATAATATAGATATGAGGGAGACGTGAGAAAGAGGTGCAGTGGAATGGAAGACAACCAATGTATAGGAAAAAGCCGTGACAAACATGAAGATTTTCAGCAAGCTTTGAAGCTATTCACAGCTATGATAAAGCCTGAACACCCACTACATGACCTAGTGCCCCCCCCCCCAACAATCACAGCTACAGGTAGATGTTTGTGGAACGACAGTGCCTTCACTGTGCCAAAAGCCAGGACTGAGCGACTGAAAAGGTCATTTGTTCACTGTGCGATAAAACTATACAACGAGTCTGTTTCATAAACTACCCCATGCTGTATCTGCGTCCAATTTTGTCATCTTTATGCTGTATTTCACTACTGTATATTTTTCATTGATTGTATTGTATTATGTGTTGATTGTAACAAACTACCCACTTCAGGGAGACTTGTGTCTTTCCCTGCATATGTATGTTTGCGGTTGGAAAACCAATCGTAAGCACCATATATGTGATCGGTAAACAAGACCGAATGAACCCTGGCCTGTGCACGCCGAGAAAACCAAATAGCGTCACAGCTCACGTGCCTATGACCAACCGGTTTACAGGTGATCCTTACGTTAGCCTGTGTTACACAAGCTCTCGGCCGGAGGTTAATGACCCCCGGCAACTTCGGGGCGGCCGGCCGCCAGGAGCGCGATTAGTCAGGCTAATCCTTACGTGGTCATCACAGGACCATGATAAGGCCACAGCAAGTAATTTTTATGGATGACATCAGCGCGCGCATCAATTTTCGCCTGATTTTGAAAAAACAAACAAGAAATTTTGTTGCCTTCTGACAGTGGTCAACATGCCAAAAATGGGCAAAGATGCCTGTTGCCATGCCGGAATCTGGATGGCAGATACTAGTAACTATAAAGAGAGGAGAAAAGAAAATACTCTGATTTAATGTTTTGTTTCTTACTTTGATGCAGTGATATATGATGCTGGCTGTGTATATGTGATGTTCCCATTGAATGAAAACTATCTGTACAATGATTGAGGCAAATTTTTTAAATGTAGGAACGTTGTTTTTTTCTGCCCGCCTTGTTTTTTTCGCCCGCTCGCATTAGATTTGGAGTCTGTGCAGCATGTCACATACTTGCTGTGGCCTAATGCTAGTATACACGCCCCTTCGTACCCACAACTGTTTAAAGGCATCCAATGCAGTTTTGGTGGCTTTTGGGGGCTCAGACGCAATATCACAAAGATTGCAAAATATCTCCAATGTTGCCGCATTGAAATCACATTTGATACCTTTAGGCCACACCAATTTAATTTCTTGGTTAACGGATTCGCCCGTTTCATTTTTTTTCTGATTTGCAAATAAAAATAAAAATCAACTGCAAAATGCTCATATTTTGCCCTGAACAGTTAAAAGCAGTCCTTTTCATCCTAGTTGTTACAGTTATTCCATCTTTCAATGCAATGGTATCATTAAAAGTTCAATATTCATTGTTTAAATTTTAAACCAGCCTGGTGTGTTGACTTCATGCCTCCTATCGTACTATTTGGGGCCATAATAGGATGCCTAGGCCTGTTTTTATTTTATTTTATTTTTTTTTGCCCGCCCGCTCCATTATTATAATCCGTTAACCAAGAAATTAAATTGGTGTGGCCTTAACGCCTTTTGAAACTGCGTTGTTTTGTCGCACAAAGCAGAATTGTCTGTTTTCCATCGACATTAATTCGTGACACCAACATACATGCGCTTAATTATTAAGCTTTCCCCTTTTAATACAAACAAACTCGGGTGCTCGTGAGTCAAGTCAACAATTCAGACATAGGTCAGCTGAGTTTACATGCTGCACCGTCGTAATTTACATAAGGCTACACCGACTAAATTTTATGGATCACATCCACGCGCGCTTTGGGTTTTGCCTGTTCTCAAAAAAAAACAAAAAAAAAATAGATCACGTCCTCCGAAGCTGTGGCCTGGGTATTCCATGGTAGTTCGCAACAATACAGAGCTGGTGGTAACTCTGGAGGACACCCAGGCTACTGAAGCTCCACGGCTACAAGAACTCAGTACATACATGTATGTACAGTGCCGATTCATATATTCCGCAAAGGGCCAGCATGTTCCGGCTTGTCATATATGCTTTGTTATTAGAAAAAAATCCGAAACTTGTGATTAGCCCACTCGATTGTAACACTTTATCAAAGACTTGTGCTATCCCTTATTATTTGAATAATTATGAATATATATGTCCTTCGCCAAGAAGGTTATGTTTTCGTAGGCGTTCGTGTGTGTGTGTGTGTGTCTGTCTGTCTGTCTGTCTGTAAACACGATAACTTGAGAAGGCTTAAATGCATTGACTTCATATTTGGTAGGTGGGTAGGTCTTGATGAGACCTCGAAATGATTAGATTTTGGGCCCCCTAGCGGCTTCTTATGGTACTGCAGCTGAACTTCCGGTTTTGATATCTCGTGATCTGGACGTGCTAGGGTCACGAAATTTGGATGGTAGGTAAGACTTGTGCTGGGGAAGAAGTGACATAGGTTTGGGCGCCCTAGCGGATTGCTCAGGAACTGCAGGGGCATTTCTTTGAAAATATTCATAAGAGGATAACTCAAGAACCGGTGGACGGATCTTCATGATTTTTGGTATGTAGGTAGCTTAAGTGACGCTTGACATAATTATGTGACAATTATGCAAATATGGATGTAATTTGCATAATTAATGAGGAAATTCTATAAATCAGCTGCATTACATATACAGTACAGATCTCGGGATAAGCATCAAGTCCCGCGGGAGATCCCGCGGGAGTTTGCGGGATATCACGCGGGAGTTTGCGGGATCTCCCGCGGGAGTTTGCGGGATCTCCTGCGGGATTTATCGGGATATCCCGCGGTACGAAATCCTCTCCCGCAACCCCGATCTTCGGTGTGAGACTTTAGGTTTCCGAAGGGCCGGCGCCGCTGTTACTTGAAGTTGAACCGCGTTGACTACAGATTTTTACGCAGACAGACGATGCGTGCATGTTTTAGTATGTTTTCAATGCATGCAAATAACAGTAGAGCAAATAGTATTTTTAACCAAACATTTCTTTTTTTAATATCGAAAATCTGGTGGCTTAATAAGATATAGAACGATAACAAAGTAATACAACCTTCTTGAACAAGTTTTGTGTCCGGCCTTGCAACGTGGACGGCTTTATTTTTATGTCA